TGTCAACGTTATGGTGAGAGTAATGGTCCAATGAAGTACAAGCTACAACGGGAAATCAATACCCTAACACAGGGAAACAGATCAGTTATGGAATATTTTAATAAATTGAAGAAGCTTTGGGATGAGTATTCTTATATAGTTCATGTTCAAGCTTGTAATTGTGAGAAAGGCAGAAATGTAGCACAAAATGAGGCTGAGAACAAGCTAATACAGTTTCTCATGTGATTGAATGATAATTATGATCACCTGAAAAATCAGATTATGTTGTATGATCCATTACCCAATGTTAGTAAGGCTTTCTCTATGGTGTTGTCTGCAAAAAGACAAAGATCAGTCCAGAATAGCTATGATAAAATAGACAATGTGGAAATGAATGTGAGATCAGGTGGATATGGAAGAGGACAAACCAATCAAGGGAGAGGATATACAGGAAGAGGAGGATCTTGGCAAGGTGGTAGAGGAATGTGAGATCAGGTGGATATGGAAGTTGGGTTGTGACGAGTCGATCATGTATTGAAGAGCATTGAATGTTTTTTGTTTTGTATGACTCGAGATTATGGGGAACTTATTTTCAAATTGAATATCGACTATAAGGATCTCGGGAAAAAAATAAAATTGGTATACTTTAGGACATAATAAATGAATGGACAAACTTAGCTTTTTGAAAGGTTTGTGATATTGTTTGCTTGAGGACAAAGAAATGGCTAAGTGGAGTTGCTTTTTATATTTTTGTTGTTATTTTGTGTGTTTTTAAGTGTTTTATTTATTTTTGTTTTAGTTTATTTTAGGCTTTTCTCGGTCCATTTAGTCGCTTTTGCTCGTTTTTGTGTATTTCATGTCATTTTAGTGTCTTGTAATTTTTTTTCTACTTTTATCTTTTATTTTGTAGAAAAATGTGCTCCAAGTATGTTAGACATCTCTGGAAATCTCGCCGGAAATTCGCTCAAAAAGTCCCCAAAGAGTTTTCGATTGATCGCCTCGATTAGTGCCCGGTTGACTCAAGCGACCCATGCATGTCCCTAGCGATCCGCGCCTGTGCCCAAGAGGACCCGCACGTCCAGTACCTCACCCATGCTCCGTCCACCCAGCACCAGCCTCCTGAGACCCGCGCGCCTCGAGCCCACGCAACTCGTCTGCGAGCGACCCGTGCGCATGCGCGCGAAGCTTCCTGCTCAAGCCAGTGCCCACGCCCCCCGCCAGCGACCAGTCTGCGCACGACCCGCACGCCAGCGCCCGAGACCAGCAGATTTTCAGCCGACGCCTGCCTTGCACTCGCTCTGCACCATTTTGGGTGAGACTTTCGCCCGAGACCCGCCCAACAAAAGGCAAAAATCGCCTAGCATTTCACCAGGCGAATATTTTCTATTTTGGGCAAGTTTTCTTCATTAAATGTGTTCATTTTTAGTGTGTATTTGTGATGTGGTTATAAATAGACTTGTTGCTGTTTATCGTGTTGTGGTGCTTATTTTCGTGTGTTTTATGTATTTTAGTTGAGTGTTTTTAGGTCCGTCTTAGTGTCGACCATTTATTTTATCGTATTTCGTGCATTTGTATTCTCATATTGTGTTTTTGTGGTTCAGCATATTTTTTTGTCTTTTTTGTGTTGATTAGGTCTATTTTGCCGAGCTTGAAAAAACGAGCCGTTCGAACCGAGCCAATCGAGCTGAGCCAACTGAGTCGTCTGAGCCGAGCTGACCGAGCCGACCCTACCGACCAGACGGGGCCAACCCAACCGACCTGATCAAGCCTACCGAGCCACTCGAACCGTCTCGGGCCATTACCGGGTTTGGACCCACGTACTTGTCGCAGCCAAGCAGCCCAGCCGCGTGCCAACTTCCAGCAGCCCACGCTCGCGCATACGAGTCCTTCCCTGCGCCCATGGAACAAAGCTTTCTGCGAGCTGCAAGGCCCGCACCCGCGAAAGCTACCGTGCCTGCGAGTGCGCTGCTGCCCAGTGCCCGCGGAACTCCACTTCGCGCCCGCGAGAGCACCAGAATCCGCGAGTGTCGCGCCATGCTCCTGCCCGCAAGACGACACTTCGCGCCCGCAAAACGATCCATGCCCACGAGTGTTGCGCTAAGCCACAAGTTCTACACTCTAGCTCCTGCGCGCGCGACCCTGCCCGCGAGTACCCTTGCGCCAGCGAGCGCAGCCCTGCCCGCGTCCCTCCACCCGCGCCAGCAAGCGCAGCCCTGCCCGCGTCCCTCCACCCGCGCCAGCGACCCAGCCCGCGACTGCTGCCTTGCTCGCGGATTTTGCTCACAAAAAATGAAGTCCAACTCGCGAGTGCCCTGTAGCTTGCGAGTTTTTATCATTTAATGTGTGTGTTTTAGTGTGTGTTTGTTGTGTAGCTATAAATAGACATTGTTCTTTGTGATTTTGAAAAAAAAAAACCCCTTATTTCCCAACTTTTAAGTTGAGAAATCTTCTCTATTTTCTCTCTTTTCTTTTTATGCTTTGGTTAAGAGGTTCATAACTCATTTTTCCGGCAAAATTCCAAGAAGCTTATTTTTATCCAAGTTCCGAGCTGTATTTATTATTTTCGTCTGGGCATGCGATAGAAGAGTAAGTACCATGCTTAGGTCTTACTACTTCGAGTTTGTTCTTTGAATTTTGTATTTATGCTCATTTCTATGTTTTTGCTTTATTTTCATTGCTTGCTTCGTTTGTTAGGAATCAATACGTGTTTATCTAGTATAAAGGTCTCGACTTTGTTCAAAGCATGATAATTTAGTGTAAAAAGCTCATGGCGGTTACCTAGGATCACTATGCTCGCATGTTTTCTTTTGTTTATTTTCATTTTTATTGAGTTATGAATACTCCGTGCAACTAAGTTTCGATCTTTCTCCCCAATCTTGCATTTTTTATCATTTGCACTAGATTTTTAGTTTAATTTCATGCAAATCTAATCCCTTCAAGCAAGTAGAATATGTAGGACATTGTTTTCGGTTATGTGACTTTGACGACTAGGTAGTGAACGAAGCTCCGAACAACCTTCCTTTGAGAACGACTCGAGTTTGGGTAACTCGGTTACCACATACCCACAAAAATACTACAAACAATTGCTTTGTATTTTTTTTACACACCTCACTTCCCAAATTTTTAGTTGGGAAATTAGCGCTTTTTATTTCCTTTTTCTCTTTAGTTTGTATTTGGAACTCCATGACTTGAGTTTTCCGGCGAACTTATTTTTGTTAAAATTTCGAGTTCTTCACTCTGATTTTCTTCAAACATGTAATAGAAGAGTGAGTACATAGTTTTAAGATTCATTACTTCATATTTGCTCCTTTTTTAACTTATGAAGGTTTTCAAGGTAAAATTGATGTTTTTCATGAGACTTTGGGTAAAGTTTGATTATTTTTTTTTTCTTGCTTGTCTAAGGTAATTAGGAGTTAAATACATGCATATCTTGTGTTAAAGGTTGAGACTTTGTTAAAAACTTGATCATCTAGTTTTGGAGACTCCGTGCTAGTAAAGTTTAAATCTTTCTTTGAAGTTCATGTCTTTAGTTGATTGTTTTCCATTGCTTAGGTTAAATTAACTTAGATTCAATCCTTCAATCTTGTTAGCATGTTTAGAACCTTGTTTTCGATTTTTGTGTTTTGACGACTAGTTAGTAAATGAAGATCCAAACAACCTTTCTCGAGAGACACGACCTGAGGTTGGAATTTATTCCGTACTTGATTAAAAACTACAAACACATACCAAATATCCACGCTCCTCTTGCAGGGAGAGAGTAATAAAATATACAACGTATTTTGATATTTAGCACATTTGTATTAGGTTACATAAAGTGTATTTTTACTCTTTAGCACTTTTAGTTGTTTTAGTGTCAAGTATAAAAAAAGTCTTGTACTTCCTTTTTGGACCTTAATTCATTCTGCCCTACAACCAAAAGTGATTCACTTCTTCCTCAAATGCTCTCTGTACTTTTGATATACAAATCTAATAATAATTGATAATATTAAAGAATATTACATATGTTAACTGAAAAATTAAATAACATATGCTATTTAATAGTACAGTTATAAATTAATTTCGTTTCAAAAGTATATATGATTATCTCTCTTCAATGAAGAAATGGTTAGGTATCACTACATGCATGTAAATCATGTCTTAGAGAGTGTGAGGTGAGTAGTTGAAAAAGATTTGTACCTCCAAAAAAAATTATATTAGTAGATGTATTAACTTTCAAGACAAAAATCTAATTTTGGTCATCTAAGTTGGTTATTGTCCATTTTTTTTTTACACCAACTTTTCTCTCATCAATAATAGTACGTTATGTTGCAATTTATATCATTTTTGGGACATTACTCATAAAAAACAGTACGTTATGTTGTAATATGTATCATTTTTAGGACACTAATTCCAAAAAATAATGTACCATTTTTGAGATAATGTCTCAAATAGTGATACAAACTGCAACATGACATACTATTTCTTAAATGAACAATGGCCAACTTGAAGGACCAAAATTGGATTTTTGCCTAACTTTCAACGTTTAGGTAACTTTTACACTTTTCAACCAGTCAAACACACACTTATTTGAACATTGAAGAGCAAAAATGAATTTATTATTATTACAAAATCTCAAGGGCGGGAGAGCTTTGCCGCCCTTGTGGTCCTACCCGACTCGATTCCATACTAGTCGGTTCCCCTGTGGATCTAGAAAACGGAAGGTCCCTGTAACAAAAAAAAAATATATTATTACAAAATCTACAGAGACTTTCAGAAATCATGTAATTCATGACTTTTATTTCCAAATATTATGAAAAAGTGTTTTGCTTTCCAAATCACCCCTCTCTCTCTCTATGTATATAAATATTCCCAAGACTTAAAACCAACAATACCTTTACACTTTACCCTTCAATCTTCATCACTTGAAAGAGAGAGAGAGAGAGAGAGAGAGAGAGAGAGAGAGAGAGAGAGAGAGAGAGAGAGAGAGAGAGAGAGAGAGAGCTCAGATGGAGGTTTCTCAACAGAGTCTATTAGATGAAATAATGATGGGTGGTCCTAAAATAGAGTCCCCTTTCCCAAATGAACTCTTCCAAAACACTTGGAACTTCACTAGTACTCCTTTCAATGAATTAGTTTCCCCACCATTACTAACTAATTCTCTATTGGAACTCGATCACTTCACAAACAACTATAACGATGATGCTTTCGACCCTTTTCTCGATATCTTCGGCTCATCGTCGTACGACTTTGCCCCGGTCGCATTGTTCCACGATGATGATGATGATGTCGTCTTTCTCGATAACTGCATCACCGACGGCAATGCCGAGAGCTATAGCGCGGTAAATTGTCCGGCGGCCGATGTTTGTGCCGGGAAGAAAGGAAAGACGAAAAAGGCGGATGGGCAGCCGTCAAAGAACTTGATGGCCGAAAGGAGACGTCGGAAAAGACTCAACGACCGGCTTTCTATGCTCCGATCCATCGTCCCCAAAATCAGCAAGGTACATTTTATTTTTATAGTTGATTAGAAATAAAAAAAAAAAAAAGAGAAAATGAAAAGAAAAAGAGTCAAAGTACTGTAGATGTTTGTTGGGACGTGTTTGGTAGCTTACACTTTACATAATAATCCAGATGGATAGAACCTCTATACTGGGGGACACGATTGATTACGTGAAGGAGCTTCTTGATAAGATTCAAAAGGCAAGAGACGAGGTTTTAGACGAGGATACTAAAAATCAGATCAATATCATCACTGACTGTCTGAATAAGGAGATTAAGCCGGATAATAATGATTCTCAGGTCAGAAACCCTCCAAAGGTATAGCTCTACCTAATTAATCACTCTAAATCACTAATTAATGAAAAATGTTAAGGTCCGATGGTTCCATCAGTGTTTTCCACCATCGGATACACATATAGATTATGTTGTGTGAATAATGTATGGTAACAAACATTGACGGAACCATTCCGTCAACAGGTATGATCGATGCAGTCTGACCATTAGACGGGTAGACCAGTCATACATACATTTATAAACAGAAATGCACACTTATTATGTTATTTGTATTTATATTCAGTTTGATGTGGAGAGAAGGAAGCAAGACACAAAATTGGAGATGTGTTGTGCACCAAAGCCAGGGCTGTTACTGTCGACATTGGGCACACTCGACGCGTTAGGCCTCGACATTCAGCAATGTGTTATCAGCTGCTTTTCTGATTTTTCTTTGCAAGCTTCTTGTTTAGAGGTGAATTAAATTAATTCACCACATTTATTTTTTTATATTTTATTTATTTTGCTTTAATTGATTTGGAAGTATTAATTAAATTTATTTATTTATTTATTTATTTATTTCGGGTTACATTTTATTTTATTTTTTTCCTCGTTTTCAGGTCGCCGAGCATCGAACCCTGGTGAGCACGGAAGATGTAAAACAGGCATTGTTCAGAAGTGCAGGTTATGGGGGAAGATGCATATAGAGAGTGCAAATTTATTTTTTTTTTTTTGCATGGAAAAATTGAAATAAATTATATTAATTAATTACGAATTTCAATTGGTGAATATTATTAGTAATATATATTGTTTGTCCTTCTAAGGCAATTTTAATTTTTGTGGAATCAGAATAATTAATAATCAGATATTGATCCTTTTTTTTTTTTATGTATATAATGGTACAAATTACAATTATATTCAAACATTCTTAGTCTTATACTAACGAGTACATGTTAAAAAAAAAAAGTGGGGTGTGAGCTATATATAGCTTTTTAGGCAATTTTGTACAATAATTGAAGTAAGAAATATTCTCAGGTAGCAACCATGCTACTATGGAAAGTGAGTAATAATGATAACATAAAATGTTGGGTCCCAAGCATGTATGCATGTGCTTGTACAAGCTCAATAATAGGAGATTGCACAAAAAGGTTGGGTGAGCCGTGATGTCTGGGAAAGGGATGTAAAAATATTCCACGGTTTGACCGCGACAATAAAATGATGAAATTCTAACAAAAATTCAATATAAATATATTTTAATCGAATTTCGTTGGAATGAGTTTTTTCTTAAAAAATCTGTTGGATTTTGACGATTTCAAACGATAGATTTTCCAACGGAGGTGGAAATTATTATAAATATTTCAACGGTTGGAAAAAAGTCGTTGGAATCATCAAATTCTATCCAAAATTCTAGTGAAAAAGTCATTCCAACGCAATATTTTCGTTGGAATTTTTGTTGGAATTATCATTCTAATGGAAGCTATGGTATTGAAATATCTGTTGGGATATATTATCGTAGAATTTTCCGTTGGAGGAATATAACATTTTATTTTAGTGAACGATTCTTCAATAAATTGCATCTTTAGTCTCGATTTCCTAGTTCCTGTTTGTCAGTTGGCACACTTCTTGTACTCGTTTGAGTTTTCATTAATTAATATATTTGTCGTTTGAAAATAAAAGTCTTGATAATTAATTATCAATAATAGTGCATTACGTACCGTATAAATCAATTGTTGGAATTTCAGTACGGGCAATATATTAAATATAGGACCCAATTTCTCTATAGCATTAATGTGGAACAACTCACAAATAATACTTCAACTAAATGGAAGTGTCATTATTTCGTTTTCTTTAAAAAGAGTGAAAGCACTAATGGATTTTACTTTTCCCGATCAACCTCAGTTTATGTTGCCTGATGTCAATCTGGTTCTAAATAGCCAGTTAGAACTAAAATGGAGCGATTGTGAAGAAAGTATGAATCATAACTAAATTCAAATAAGGTTCTAGGTTTGTTTTAGTGTATTTGTTTATAAACTACTATTGTTTAAACTATCCCTTTTTGGATTCTGCTTTAGTCAGTTGTTACTAGATCCTTTCAAATTTGTAAATGTGTTTTATTTATCTATAAATTATGCCGTTTAAAAAAAAAAATCAGCCTGACACAATAAGCTACTACAAAGAAAATAAATCCAAAAGATGGCTAAATGTCGGTTTCGGTCCGGTTTCAAGTCGGAACCGCCGGTTCAGGTTCACATTTAATGTGACCCGGGTATATATAAAGGTTGGTTCACTGAACCCGCAATTCACGGTTCAGAACTGTCCCACCAGTTTTCGAGGTGATATGGGATACCATACTGGGTCGACTCTACACGAGAACCAAACTAGGTGAACCAGCAGGTCGATTAGAGATTGAAGATACGGGAGGTCGGTGAAGCATCGGGTCGATGGTAACTCCACCGTTAAGAAGACTCGCCAACAGGTCAAGCTAGGGCCTTCAGATGACCTGATAAAAACTCAACCTGGCGGTATGCAGGTCAACTAATCAACCTAATAGACAGAGTGCATGAGCACAATGAAGAGGAAATCTAGCTCAAGTGAAGCAGAGTTGGTCTTATGATTAGACCGTCTAACAAATAAAACTATAAGAATACATATAATTAAGATAAGAACGCGCAGCTCAGGCACCCGAGCAGTACGTACGACTAGTTTGGGCACTTGGGCAGCCTATTCGGGAAGTCTTGAAAAACTTGGTATATAAAGGGGTGAGGTGTGTCAATTTACACTCGACAAGCTATTACATACATACAGACTATAGTGCGTTCATCGTCTTCTTCGTCCACATACTGACTTGATTGTCGGGGTCTTCACGTCGGGACACCTCATAAGGTTGTATGCAGGTCTATCGAACCAGTCAAGAGTAGATTTAGGTCGTTCGCGTCTAGGCGAGGTTATTTTACACATTATTTGGCACCGTCTGTGGGAAATCTGTTCAGAAAATGCCTAAAAACACCACTACTCACGGCAGACGATGATCCCTAGAGAAACTTGGAGCCCACATTCAATGAAGCTTAGGTCTCCAAGTGACCCCACGTCGCGACGCGACTAATTTAAATTTATAAAGTTTCCTCGACTAACCTCTGTTAACTAGTAGTAGCGGCTAGTAAGGGTCGACCCCACGAGGAGCATAAATTAAATCTTGAAGATTCTCGTATTAATTAAACTAAACTAAAAAAGCAATAAAGTGGGGATTGATCTTACAAAACTAAAAATAAAAATAATAAAATAAAATAAAATAAAAAATCAAATAACTGAGAGAAGTCCATCGGATCAGTTATCACCCAATCTAAATCTACCATTAACTAATTTCGACACCTTCATTAAATTTCTAATGTATTACCAACCCTAGCTAACAATATGCTCTGTTAACCGAATTTTTCCTTACCGAGTATTTAATCGAAATAAGCTCTTCGACTACATCTAACTAGTGGACAACATATAATAAGCTCTCTAGATTTAGTACACTAGCAACATTAATTTCTAGGAAAATAGATTAGTCTGAGCAACGGCCGCAAAAACTCCGATTATTTAACTTAGGTTCACACTACCATAGAAATGCACGACCCCTAGTTTATTACGAACGAAACAAGAACAATAATAATTACGGATTAAAGTCTCGTCTCTAGCAAATAAACTGTGAATAGTCTGGCCAAACTAAATCAAACACCATAATTCATAAACATTAAACACAAATAACGTGAATCAGTTTATCCACAAAATAAATTGGCTTCTGACTATAAATATAAATTTTTCATAGACAAATCAAAGTTAGGGTTCAAACAAATTCTCCCTCGTGTGCGACTACCGGTGCCCTCCGCGTGTGTTATGTATTGTCGGCCTTTTCTCACCTCTGTGTCCGTTTCCACTAATTTCCGTCCGTGTGTGGGTAAGTGTTCTCTGTGTCCCTCTCAAATATATATGACTCGCGCTACTGCTTTTTTTTCTCAATTAAATCCCAATGACTTGCTGCGTGGCGTAAGTGGAGTTTTTTTTTTTATTATTATTAAAAAAAAAAAAAAAAATCCTCCTCAAACTGTGTTCCTCAAAGTCTCCAAATGCGTGAGTATATTTTCTTGAAGCCCAAATAATTGCCCTTACAAATGACTCACGTTACAGAGTTGCATAACTTTTTTGGGCCCAATTATTGCATTTTCTTTTGGGTCCATTAAATACATTTCGGGCTGAAATTTTAGTTATCCGATATTGCTCCTATTCTTTAAATGTAATTCAAATAATTACAACAAAACGAGATTCCAAAATCATTCACAATGGCAACGAACAGAAATAGTCAAATAGTACGAAAATAATTCAATTGGAACCCGCGAAATCCCGAAACAACCAACGAGCATGAGATAAAACAAGAGAATAAAGAGAAGGTTCGACTTCGACGAACTACCTTCCTTCGGGAATCTACAAGCCCAGTTGGCAAACGGACGGAAGGAACGAGACCGAACGGACAAACGGAACTCGGAAATCGAAAGCCTCACGAACAAATGTTGTATGAGTCTCCTCGTCGGCTGAGGCTGTCTGTTGCATTGCTCGACTAACAGACGGACGGACGAGTTTGCTGCGGATTCTCACCTCGACGGTTGACGGTGGCTAGAGCTCCTCGGCTATAGCGGACACGTTGCCTGCGAGCGGAAGGGATCGAGAGCTGGTTGTTACGAGCCATTTGCTGGCGAGGAGAGCTCACGGTGGGACTGCTCGGAGATGGGCTCGCCTGAAAGAATGGCGGACAGAGATTTTCAGGTCGACAATGTGGGCTGCCAGACTGAAACGCATACAGTTCAACAGCGGGTATCTGGCGGCTGATGATGGATTCACGGCGACGGCAAAGAAAGCTGCAAGTCGCCGGAAACCATGGCGAGAGAAGCAGGCGGCGACGGCATGAACAGGTCTCTGATATAACTTATGTCGTGTGAAGGTGATGATGAAGAAAATACTCCTGACGAGTCTTATGTATACGTGAACAATGAGCGATCGTGAGATTATTCTCATGTAAAATTCGCAACGATAAATTTCAAAGATGGGGCAAGACGAGCCTGTCGTACGGGAGGATAAGGGAACTACTGGATCTTCTCTATTTGGGCCACTAAAACTCAATTTCTCAATGGGCCAATTTAAAACAACAAGATTGGGCCAGAAATTAAATTGACATAAGGCTTAAAAAATAGACTAATATTCGACCTGTGCATTTGCACAAATATAAATAAAGTATTATGAGTTATTTGTATTTATATAATGATTAATAATTTTTCTTGCACTTTTTGCAGGTCAAATTTACAATTAAAGGAGCTGAAATATTTATTATTTTAAATTGCGTTTATCATATTGGATGTAATGTATATTCTGGTATGTATGTTTTTTGTGAATTATTTATTATTTATTTAGGAATTTCAAATACATTTTTTTTTTTTATTTTCGAAAAAAAGTTAATTTAAATATAACCATAACAATAATATCTAATCACGTTAAATAGTCAACACATTATATAGTCAGTTGTAAGTAAACCAAAAGTTTAAAATAATTTTTGTAATTTTGAAGTGATTAGTGTGTTGATTATTTTATAATTAAATAAGAGATTAAACAAATAAAAAGTAACGGTTTTTGAAGGAAAAAATTATATTGCCACATAGATATAATTTAAAAGGTTTTATTAAATGCCCATGAGCCATCAATTATATATATATATAGATTATGGGTTGTAACTAAATTGACAAAAAAGATCGGATAAAATTATACCCAAATGGACCGAAAATTTTCTCGATAAATTGGGCCGATCATTAAACTCAAGGATCGCTCCGAAAATGGCTCGTATACGACAATGCGATACCAAGGATATCGGTTTTATTAATCGCTTGACGAGGAACAAATAAAGTAGAATTATACGACTTATAATATTAATTAGACATGTACATCTAATTAATTAATAAGTCTACACGACACGATAACACAATACACATAAAAATATGATAAATCATATAAATCGAAAAGAGCACTACACCCGGTCTGGCCCAGCACGGACAAAAAATTATAAAAAAAAATGTCGAAAACCCAAACCTGTTTTCCGGCCAGGACACAGTGGGTTAAAATAAAACAATTAAGACCATCAACCAGCCCGTTTGTAGCACGAGTATGGTTCAATGACCCGTACATACGGACCGGCTCTGGGCTGACCCGACGGTTCGCGCTGACCGTGACAATGTCTACTAAAATAATGACATTTATAGAATAAGTATATATAAAATAAGTATATATTTTTCTGTCAAAAAAATATATATAGATGATTAATCCAAAAATGTGACACGAAAACCGACTGAATATTATATTAGGTTTTTCACCTTGCTAATTAACAATCTAACCTTTTCATATCGAAAAATACGAAGGCTATTCGAATAGTTCGCATAACAATCACATATCAGTATGATAAATGTCGTCTATCAGTCGCATATTCACATTACAATAATCTGATAATTGTTGCATATCAGTCGCATATTCACATTAAAAAGTGCAAAGAGTTATTCGAATGCCTTCCGCAACTTTAATTTCTCATAATAGTTTCGTACTTTCTGAAGTAAAAAAGTTGACTTATGAATCAACGGTATAAAAAAATTTGTTCATTCTAAAATGTGGTGTAAATAACTATTTTCTCTAAATATATTGTATATATGATGATAAATATGAATAAATTTATTAACATTTTATCGACCGGCCTATGTGCCCTGGGTGTTAGGCCCCAATCCGCATATCGAATGTTTAGACTTTTAGAACATTGCATTTTACCAACCTCAGTGAAATAAATTTACCATTAACCTGTTTCTCAAAAAGTCAGGAAAAAATCATCTAACCAACTCAAAAATCAATGGCAGTAACAATTTCTCCAGCCAATTAGGTAATAATTTAATTCTCTTCTTAAGTTGGTTCAAATAACATTTGATTGGAGAATAAAATCAAGTAGAATAAAAAATACTACCTCCTATTCTTTATAAATGTCATTTTAGCATTATCAACAATTAACAAAATAAATATTTTTTTAGATATTTTGTACATATTTTTCCATTATTACCCTCATTTAGCTAATAAATACACTACGTCTTTTCATATTCACTCTTCATTTTTTCTCAAAACATTCATCTCTATCCTCATTAATTAAAGTTATTATTGGCAAAAAAAATATTCTTAATAACTGTACAACTTCTCAAAACGATATTTATTATGAAGAAAAATGTTACATGTACATAATAAATATACATAAAGATGTACATAACACTCATATGGAGTGAAATTCACTTGATTTTTTAATTTTAGTGGGTCCTACTCAATGTGAGTGTTATGTACACCTCTCCTCTATGTACAACATTATGTACCTATAGCACTACTCTATTATGAATGAATAGGAGGGAGTACTATAAATCGGATAATAAAAAAAAAATATTTTGATTGAACTGCATGAACCTACTGTACCTACATTATATATTATATATATACATGGAATAAGCTTGAATTTGGATGGTGTATACAGTGGTGTGCACCAACAGCTTCACGCGACGGCGGTTTCTTCAGGTCGGCGCCGTCGATAATTTTCCCCAGTCGCGGCGGTTCACATGGACATGGCAAAGCTATGAATTTCGGAACATTATCCCCAGCCATTATAACCGGCAAACTCTGCGTCTCTTGCTGTTTCAAATTCTGGGGAAAACAATAAATGAACCATTTCAATTTTCCCCTTTGCTTTTTCCCCCAAAACTAATCGCCAAAATTTAAAAAAAAAAAAAAAAAATAGAAAATAATTTGATAGAAAATAGATATTTTAATGAGATGCACATATACCATTGGTGGGATGACGGGTTTGCAGGGGCGGTGAACGACGGCGGCGGCGGCCTCGAGATCGGCGGTGGCGTGGAAGGACAAGGAGCGGCGGAGCTTACCACAGTGGTAGCAGCATGAGCATATTCCGCTGAGGCTGAAAATGACGAGGAGCAAAAGGGCGGTGCCGAGGGGGAATCCGAGGGACGGCCGGGAGTCGCCGCCGTGGGAAGCCGGCTGGGGACTGTGATATGGAGCCTCCATCTATTTGTTGATGTTTTCGTCCAAAATTAGTCAGGTATCCAGAATTTTCCACTCCCCTCATATGAGGTTCAACAATTAAATTTTCTATAATTATATTAAATTTAGACAATTAATTAATTAAATAATCAGTACATATATATGTGCCTAACCTAAGCAAGAAATAAATGGGAAAGTGAAGACTAGTTGAGTGTCATGAAAATTGTGGGGAGCTATAAATATTTATAGCAAAATTGGGGAGTTCAGTTTGGCCCATGTTGTTTTTACTTTTTAGAGAACACTTGTGTTGTGTAGTTGCTATCTATTATTATTATTATTATTATTATTATTATTATTATTATTATGCCGAAATTATAGAGTATGATATTTTATTTTGAAAATAGGCATATAATCGTTTAAAAGAAAAAGTGATTATAACATTATTGTAAAATGTTGAACAAGTACATATAATTTGGGTTTTCTTTTTTAATTACGAATATTTGAATAATATATGATAAGTTAATTATTGGGAGTGTATTTGGTGTATTCTCATGTTGGAAGTTTTAGTTTATTCTTCTGTTGGAAGCTTTTGTGTGAGTTTTGTATTGTCGTTTGTGTGTTTTATTCTCCTTTTGGGAGTATGTTTGTGTGTTTTGTGGTGTAAGTTGACTCTAAGCTACCGTCAGGATGTTCATTGTAAGTGTAGTCCTCTCTACTGGAGTCAACTATTCAGCTTATTCGGCAATTGGCTTCTTAATTCAGTTGGGTAGCTGATTTCTAGTCTCGACTTTGTTGTGAATATAAGATTTTCCTATGGTTTGGTTTAAAAAAAATAATAATGTTATTGGAATTAGTTGCTAGGCAACAATTTGGTAGTATTTATTTTTATTCTTGTCTTTTTGTTACTTTTTGGTTTTAGACCTTTTTTTTTTTTTTCTACCTAAAGTGTAACCTATATAAATAGTTGGTGGCCCATTTAGGGCTGGGGTATTGGTGCGCATGAAAGCTGCGTTTGATTTGCTTGTATTTGCAAGGGAGAGATTGAAGTGAGATTTTCCTTGGCTGTTTTTCGTTAATCCATCCTCCCCCGTGTGTGTGTGTGAGCGAGAGAGTCCTTGTATGTTTGGGTCCCCCACAAGGGTTGAAGGACCACTCTTTCACTGTGCTTTTTTAATTTGTTTTTGTTTCGCATAATATATTATAAAGTAATACTTTACTATCCACGGTGGACATATGTTTTATATGTCCACCGCTTATGTGGTATGCACATATTGGTGATTCATTTTTTTGAACATATTAACATCACCAATGTGTGCATGCCACAAAAGCGGTGGACATATTAACATGTGCCCACCGTGCGCAGGTGAGCATTTTCTATATATTATAACACATTTACAAGGTGCAATATAGTGGAATGAAACAACCAAAAATTGATTTCAAAGAGACGTGCAATTCAGAGCGACGATAGCCTATAAACTACTAAACTAACACACTCAGAAGACTAAAAAAACTAGCAAAGCTCGAATACTAAAGTAGTAAACTCACACGAGTGGGAATACTAATTTCCAACTGGGAGAATAACACTGACGTAGCTAAAGCGTTCGAAAGAAAAACAAGAGATATATCACTCAAGAAAAATATTCTTATGTCATCAAATTCAACCAAGTAAAACAATTGAAGATGAGACTTTAAATGGAACTTCTAATCCTAAGTAAATATCTTGCCCAACAAGTAAAGGACTCTAATAAAATAAATAAAATTTTCTAACAAAATAAAAACTATAATAATTAAGTAACGTCTCTACTTATTAAAAGACTCAAATAAATATCTTTCATATAATTAAATAATTTTACTAACAAATCTAGGACTAAAAATACTAACAATAAATAAAAGAAATAAATAACTAAATTAAATATCTCAGAGATCATGCTTGTCCTCATCTCCATCAAGCACGCACACTACCACAAAACACAAACACACAAACATAGAACACTTAACACACTAGATACTAGAATACAACCCTCCTCACCATCGGAAAACACTTGTAATTGCCACAACTCAACCAACCCCAAGGCAAAATAAATCAAAGGACAGTTACCCGGACTGGAATAAGGAAGAGAAACTTCTCCTACGACCAACTCAACCTAAGTGACAGACTCGAAACCAAACCAAGATTCAACACAATGAACTGCCCTAGACGACCCGCTCCACCATCCTTTCCCACCACAAAGTCCGGCCGCCGTACCCCGAAGAGTCCCTCATATCGGCCGAACCTTGTATTCCTGCACCAGGAACAGTTGATCCAAGGGAGGACTGAAGTGTTAACACTAGCACCCAAAAACAAGCACTGACACTGGCAAACTGATAGTCTCCAACCACCTACAACAATGGCACGCATAGCGGGTGAAACCCGCGCGAAGAAGGAGAGGGAAATCGAAACCCACCGTGAAGAGAAATGCCAGACCAGGACCGCCTAGGAACCAGACGATGTTACGGGGGACAGAGCCCCATCGGAGAGGAAGCAAAATAGAAGCAGCTGACACTGAAGACAAGATTTGGGGATTTAACCTTTCTGGTCGAGTAAAGAGAGGAAGAGCGACATATTTTTAAATCCTCACTACTACATTTCGAGATTCCTCTTTTATAAGCTTTAAACACGTGCATATTATATAATTATATGACAATTATTTGTTTATAAGGGCTAACTGCAAAAACTTGTGCTAACCAATTGGTGATAGGTGTTGGAAAATATGATATGTACTCAATCAAAATAGATTCTAATGGATTTTTAACCTTATTCTAAAAACGATATTGTATCTCAGGAGTATTCATATTGAATAATTGAGAACATAATCGAATAGTAGAAGTGTACTTGATGGATTTATCTCGATTGATTCGCTTGAAATTCAAATTTGGTATTTGGAGAACTTCCATAAATCAGTGAATTGTTCTCTTCTCTTCTGACGTAACGAAAAAAAAAAACAAAAACTATAAAGATAATTTCTCTTCTTTTATCTTTTTTTTTTTTTTTGGAAGAAGAAGAATTCCAAAGGGTTCCTTTTTTATTTCTCACGGATTTTTGGGACCCCACCCATTATTAATTGTGACCCTAATTATTTTGTTAATTAGGTCACTTAAGTTTATATTATTATTTGTTATGTCAGGAAATAATAATGTAACCGGGTGTCCATTTTTAATCATTCCACCATTTAAATCAAGTTCCATAGCCGATATATCTATATAATAATTTGATAACTTAATTAGGCTTAATAAAATAACGGTCCAAATTATCAATTACACATATTGAATCCCAAAATAGATATATTAACAATCTCTCTCTGAATTTAATATGTGTCCTTGATAATACATTATATCTTATGAGCTCAGTATATGGCCATTATTACAGAACTTGAATAATCCGGTCCATTAATCACAACAAAATATGAATTAAACAGTTTTCGCCATATAGATACATTCATACAACTAAACTATCAATAATCACATATATCACCATGATTAAATGGCATAGATCAAATTGTGAACATGTGGCATAAAAATTATATGAATGCGATCCTCACGTGTCAATTTTTAATTAGTCAAAACTTAATGAGATCGTAAAGTACTAAAACATAATTCACAAAGAGTCATCAACCTAAGTTGTATTTCTGATCAAAATAACTACTTTATATATCATCGAATAAAAATGACAATAATGTAGCATATAGTCCCACTAGAGTGAAGCATCCTCAATCTGTGACGCACCCATACAAGAAGTATGCTTGTGAAATACCATAAGTGCTACACCCTTAGTTTGGGGTCTGCTAACATAGATTGTGCCCCTAAGGATTTGATGGAAATCTGACTACTTTACACACTTTTCTTCACAACTAGGAACTTAATGTAATATGCTTTAACTTGGACGAGCTCCTATTGTTGTTGGATTACGGATCAACTCATGTATTACATCATGTGTTTTTCTCTATTAGATTTTTTTCTCATTCGTCCAACATGATACTTTATTTTTTTCGAAAAAAGAATTTGAGTTTATTTATGTGAATTTATATAATTATGTTATATCAAATTTGTTTATTATGATTTGTAGTTATGTAATTATAATACATTTACAACTATAACAAATTTAAATTATAATACTTTATACTTAATACTTTATGTTCTGAAATTGAGGATAGTACTTCCGTTTAATTTTTTGTTTGTTCCACATACTCTTAAAGAATATATTTTAAAGCAATCCAATCTTATTAAAGTAGTTTGCATTTCCTTTATTATGTTTTCCTTTATTGATAATTTAATACTTTGTTTACCTATTCAAATCTATTTTGTTTAGGTTTTATTTATGAAAGAGCTTGTTTTTGTGAGAACCCTATTTTTTTGAGATATTTAATTGCGATTATAATTCACCGATATACTTAATGGTTATTGCAGTTTTGCCAAACATAAGGACTTTCTAATCCGTGCATTTTCTTAGAAAACCATTCCTCCTTTTATATTAATGGTATAGATATTTTTTATTTATGTCGTAATCATGTATTTGTGTCATGAGTGATTAAAAAAAATCGAAAGAATTAGTTTATGATATTGAAAATTAAAAAATAATTTGTGTATTTTGAAATATATTTCATAGATGGTAAGATATTTATATACTATTTATATTATATTAAAAAAAATTCATATTTTTATATTAACTTCATAAAAGTATATCCATATTTTTTATATAATTCATCGTGATAGAAACATGTATCAAATGTGATATTTTGTAGTTAAAGAAAAAGATCCCTATTCTTTGTTTCTTTCTTTCTTTTTTTATAAATGATAGAGACAATATATTAAACAACACAGGGAACAACGTTTCAATACAAGTGGGGCTAAATAGCCAACACAATCTAAATAAACCAAAATGAAAATGAAAGGACACGCTAAGAAGCGGCCTAGAATGACTCAAGCAGCAACCAACTAAGCTATAAAGATGATCTGACGTGCCACTGCATCAAATGCCTAGACTGCAA